AAATAAGTAAAGATCTATTTAGAGTAAAATTGACTGTTAGGGGTTGGAGATATAGCTCAGATGGTAGAATGCTTGCCTTGTATGCACAAGGCCCTGGGTTCGATCCCCAGCACCACAAAAAAAATTTGACTTTCAGAAACTTTCAGTTTATTTTTGCATTATTTAGCTTTCTGTTACCATGATAAAATACTTAAGACTTAAAGGAAAAAAAAAATTTTTTTTTTTTTTAATGGTTTCCATCCATGGTCTGTTGACTCTACAACGGCACAGTATATCATGGGGGAACATGTGGAAGAGGAAGCTTGTTCACCTCATAGTGGCCAAGAAACACTCAGGGAGACAGGAAGGCATCAGGGTTCCAATATTCTCTTGAAGGGCATGCCCCCAATAACACAACTTTCTCCAGTAGGCCCACCTCTGAAAGGTTCAATCATTTCCCAACAGTGCCACAGGCTTGCCATCAATTCTTCATTTAACATTTGGGTCTTTGGGTAACATTTCCACATCATAAGAACTTTATTAAGTTGTCCTATTAAAGATATGGAGGGTAAACTGCCAATTTAAAATTCTAAATAGTGAGGCACCAAATACCAGTGGCATAAAGAATCAACTTGAATAGCCAAAGGATATGAAAAACTGAAGAAAAAAAATTAATAAATTGAAATCCAGATAGTCTTTGATATTAACGTCTCCTAAACTTTTAAATGTAGGTTCTAAAATTTGACTAGTGGTAATTTGACTAGTCACTGGAAAATCATGGCATTCTTTGTAGTAAATACTATTAAATATTTCAAAACTTCATTTTCATTAATTAACTACAAATAATCTCACTATCATAGAAGATATTTTAAAGAAACTTGTTTTAATGATATGTCAAGAGCTATGTAATGTTTTGAACAACTAATAATAATAAAAAAAGAAGCTTGTTTTAATAACCAAAATAAGCATAAATTTATTTGCTGAAGATAAAAGAGTGAAACTGATAATTTAGGCCAAGTCAGGCCTCTAAAACATGAATATATATTTAAATTTCTTGATCAATTTATTTCTTTTTTACATGGAGATAAATTTAAAAACTCAAGTTTCAGAATAGTAGGTAAGGACAAGTTTACATCAAATGTCCAGGTGACTTACTGTATGTATGCACAAAGCTTGAAATCCCTATTCACTAGAGTTTATTATATTTGCATATGTAAGTTTCTATTTAAATCAGGTCTATGGTATAAAATTCTGCCTTGTTTAGTTTTCCTAAGAAAACATCCAAAATAACTTCATAAATAAGAAATTCCCTATTACTTTTCTTTGAATTCATATAGAAACTGAGAAATTGTTCATAGTGGGAAAACAAAGAGTTCATTTTTACACTAAAATCAAAATTTTATGGCTCTGATTTTGCTAAAAGCAGAAATATAGCTATGATCTAAACCAAAAAGCTCAGATTTAACTCAATCATTCTGCTAAACATATACATGTCAAACGTATAAGGTTTTGAGGACAAAGAACACATGATATTTGATTAAGCACTAATTCCTAAAAATAGCAGTTATTAGAACAATGAGAAACAGGGCACACTGTAAACTTTTCCTATGTTCATAAATTAAAGAACAATATTTAACTTTAAGGAGCTGTATGTATTTACTAAATTAAAAGTAATTAATCTTATCAGGTTTATATGACATCCTCTTTACCAAATGCTGATATTAGCTGGTATCCTTGTGAACACCCTTCACCACTAATCTAACTGCCAAATAAGCAATTTATTTTTTCTTTTTGGCACATACCTTTCTCCCAGAAAACATTCCCACTTAAAACAAAAATTATTCACGATAATTAAATTTCCTCATGAGAGATGCAGACAGTGATTTATATAAGACTAAATTTCCTACACAAATGAATTAAAAATAGATTTCCAGGGGCTGGGATTATGGCTCAGCAGTAGAGCACTCGCCTAGCACATGCGAGGCCCTGGGTTCAATCTTCAGCATCACATAATAATAAATAAATAAAATAAAGATATTGTGTCCAACTACAACTAAAAAAATAAATATTTTAAAAAACAGATTTCCAGTTGTCTAGTACATGATAATCATATTAAATTTTTATTGAAAGAAAAACAGATTTTATATCACTTACTCTACCATCAATTACTTACTGCCCCACTGATAAAAACATTCTGATTTTTTTTCAGTACTTCCAGTCAGTCTTATTACATTTATACTACATATAATTCAACCACTGATAGTATTTTCTAGACTGCTTTAATGACATGTTAATGTTTTATTGCTAACTTGACAACATTTCTAAACCTTATCTATTTTCCTACATGGGAAATAGTTGTCACTTTTTACTAAGATAGCTTTTGAGAGCAGGCACATTTAATGTCTCCTGAATTAAGAAGTACTTTTTCTTTATCCTTAGTACTTTATAGGACTACCAACAATGATGACATTGAATGGTGGATTGGTGGATTTTCTGCTTTATCTCTAGTTTTCCTATTTATGAAAGTCAATGTCTTTAAGATCTTTTTTTTTTTAATTAAGATTTATGTATCCAAAAATGCAATATAAAGAATAAAAATAGTTCAAAATGGAAAAAGTGAAGAAAACAGAAAAGGTAAAACTATTTCTGAGTTTTTTGTTAGCCATCAAAATTTTAAATCTTTCATCCAAAATCACACTTGAAAAATATACCATCTCTTTACTTAATTTGGAAAAAATGAATCCAATATATTATCCTTATTTAATTATGACAGTATTTAATATATGAATGCTACTATGCCACATTTTTTGGGCACAAATTTCACAAATAAATAAAAATCATTCATTTATAAAAATCACTGGTTGTGGCTTAGTGGTAGAACGCTCGCCTAACATGTGTGTGGCACTGAGTTCGATCCTCAGTACCACATAAAAATAAATAAATAAATAAAGGTATTGTTTCTAACTACAACTAAAAAATAAACATTAAAAAAAAAAATCACTCTCTAAAAGCAACTATGCCATTAAAATAAACACTAAAAAGAGAAATGGAGACAAACACACTTAACATATGATCATTATAGACCTATTTTTCTGGATATTATTTAATTGGAAATATTATCATTTTAGAATCTATGATTTAGTGGAATTCCAAGAATACTACCTACAGAAAGCATTCCAATGATGAATAATGCAAATGACATATTAAAAGTGTTGGAGAAGAGCCAAATCAGGCTGTTTGCTTAGAAATTTATAAAGGAGATGAAATGGGGTTAAAAAATGACATCTGGGGGCTGGGTTTGTGGCTCAGTGGTAGAGTGCTTGCCTTGCATGCATGAGGCACTGGGTTTGATCCTCAGCACCACATAAGAATAAATAAAATAAAGATATTGTGTGCATCTATAACTAAAAAAAATATTTTTTTTAAAAAGTATATGACATCTGTGCTTATAAGTCAGTCAAGAAGATAAATGATACCTCTTTCTTTTTTATTCTGGAAATTGAATTCAGAGGTGCTTTGCAACAGCTATATTTGCAGTACTTTTATTTTTTGAGACAGGGTTTTGCTAAATTGTTGAGGGTCTTGCTAAGTTGCTAAGGCTGGCCTTGAATTTGTGATCCTCCTGCCTTAGACTCATGAGTTGTTAGAATTACAGGTGTGTGCTACTGTATCCAGCTTCTCTCTTTTTGAAAAGTGGACTCTTCTCCAGTCTACAGTATAAGCGCAATATCAATGAAAAATATTTCTTTTTCTAAGAGGTAAGTTGAAGAAAGGCTATACTGGCTTCTAAGGGACCAATTAATGAACCCAAGCCTGGCTTACACAGAATTCTTTAGGGATTTGCGAATATTCCCATTCTAATTTTTCAGAGATAAAAATATGAAGGGAAAAAAATTAGAAAAGAAAATGACCTATGGCATTTGGCTACCTTTGCAAACTAGCCCATTATTAACTATTTTCATATTTAAATGACCCTTTCTCCCCCAAGAACTCTCACTACTTATGAGTCGAATGGCCAATCTTTTATGACCAAAAGGTTACCTACCAACAAACATGTGATCTGAGCTACCAATGCAATGTGTGAGATAATGTAAGGGAAGCATCTGAAGCACTAGTTTTCATTTAAAAAGGCCATGTCTCAACACCATCAGGAACAAGAACAGAAACAGTTTAAGATTTCTTTAGATAGAGTTAGCTCAAGGAATGGATAGAAATGAATCTTTTTGGTAACTCATTTTAGGGTATGAAATACTTTTAGGAAGTAAGCATCTGTGTATTTAACATGACTTTGATCTATGAGTTTTTCTAGATGTATGATTTTAGCTAGCCTGTTAGAATTATAAAATTTATAAATTCTCAAAAATTAAATGAATCAGGAGAAAAATGTTTCTTATTCTAAGAAAGAGGAGTGCAAATGCATATATGAAAGGAAGAAAAAGGGACTGCTTTCCGGTGTTTACTCCTTCCTGAAGTTTTAATAGCAAAATGTAAAGCTCCGAACAAAAAAGTCTCAAGTGTAATTGAATGCAATGTAAGAACAAATTTAAAAAAATTTCAAGTGAAGAGGCTATTCTCTCAATTTATAAAATCATAAGATCAATAAACCTGGATAATGACAATAAAAAAGACCACTACTTAAGGCTGGGATTGTGACTCAGTGATATAGCGCTTGCCTAGCACATGTGAGGCACTGGGGGTTGATCCTCACCACCACATAAAAATAAATATATAAAATAAAGTTATTAAAAAAACAAAAATTACTTATTTGTAAATTCCTTTGAAGGGAAAAGATTTTAAATTGTGACTCTCAGAGATGACAGAAAACTTACCCAAGGCAACAGCATTATCCTTGCTCCAAATTATATTAAACTAACATCAACCTTAATGTGTAGAGGACTAAGGGGGAGAGTAAAAAGTAAACATTCTAGGATGAATAGAAAAAAAGGATCAGAAACAAACCTAAATATGATACCAAACTAACTTTTATAGCAATGGTACATGGGCTCAGAATTAATACTCACAAGGTAAGAATTCCTGGGCTAGTAGGGAGCTGTTTTATTGTGGTCTTCATTTTGTCATTATTAAACCTAGGAAAAAAATAAGAGTAAACTTTAAAAATTTGATCACAGAAATTAGAACATTTAACTGACATTGTTGACAGTCATTGTTTTCTGAACACTTAACTGAGGTTAACAGTCATTGTTTTCTGATCTTCTTATATCAGAGAAAAATCAGATTATAAATACCCAGCAGCAACATTTCTCTATTTCAATCCCATGCACTGTAATTAGTTTTTAAAATTTGCTTTTCTATTACTTTACCTTTTAGAAGTTTAAAAGTCAAAGTTTAACTTATAGCATGATGAGCTTCTGGAGGAGATCATATAATTGCAGGTATTTTAAGTTAAGGCACGATCATATCCTGAGATTTCACACACATATTTGCAAAATCTACAGTCTATATATTGCCAATTCAAGAATTATATTGTTATGTAATATATAAGTAGAGTATAAATACAAAACTAGGAAGTTTTGTATTTATACTCTATTTAAGTAAGCTGGAAACTGAAAATATATTATGATGCTATGAGTAAAACTAAAGAAAATATAGTTGTTAAATTGCCTAGATCAAAGAGTAAATGAAAGGGTAATGATAAGAAGAAATTGTTTCCATGGTGTATTTACTTGCCATTGTTTCCTAAGATGTAACCCCTACTTGATTTTTTTTTTTTTTTTGTACTGGGGATTGAACTCAAGGGCCCTCTACCACTGAGCCACATCACCAGCCCTATTTTGTATTTTATTTAACAACAGGGTCTCACCGAGTTGGTTAGCACCTCGTCTTTGCTGAGGCTGGCTTTGAACTTGAAAACTGCTGGGATTACAGGCGTGAGCCATCATGCCTGGCCCAACTTAATTTTGATATATCTCCTATGCATGTTTTTGTACTATTACTACAAATTCTGCTCCTTAAAAGCTTATATACATGGCGTCATATGGACGTCTAATCTTTTATATAAAAGATACTATTACCTACTTTTCACCAAAAAGTGAGTTTTATAATCCTTTCTTTTGAAATACACCTTATTTAGAGACAGGGTCTCACTGAGTTGGTTAGCACCAATCAATAATGTTATACTGAATATAACTTCTCCATAAAGTAGTTTTTGTTTGTGTAAGAAGGTTATCTATGATGATACACATAGCTCTCATTTTAATAGCTATATAGTTCACCATGAGACTGTGTCATAATTTACCATTCTCTTGTTGCTTAGTATTTTTACTGGTTTCAAAAATTTTTTTCTTATAAAACATAAATAAGTTTCTTCTTTTTCCATATGTCTGAGTTTATCTAGAGAATCTAGGAATGTATTGAGTTCAAGTCTACTGTATTTTCAACTTTACTATAGGATATAATTAAATTCGTCCACAATAGCATATGAAAAGTTCTCCTTTTCATATATTTACAACACTTGACAGTACATTTAAGAAAAACAGCTACTATCTATATGAATATTTAAAAAATTCTTTTATGTGATCAATTCCTTCATCTAATATATATCTTACATAAGAATACTAAAAATTCCAAACAAATATAATAGACTAAAATTTGGCCAGAGGCACTTGCAAAAAAATAAGGCTCGGATAATGTGTTTTTCCTCATGATTGAGGAAATACCAATACTATTGTTACAAAAATGATTATTAATTAAATACTGAGCTTAGTCAGATCCAAAATGACCAAAGAGGAAAAAATGCAAGAGAAGTAAATGGTTTATTGGTGTGGATAGTCCTCCCCCTTTCATTTCGGGAAGTGTTTCTCACGTAATACTCCTAAAAAGAAGAAAAAGCTCTCTTTAAGCTTGTAAAACCCACAAATTCCTGAGCCCAGATCTGCCAGAGGTTCTGATATAGCAGGTCTGGAAAAATGCTTTATTTCAAGTTATTCTGGTACAGGTGGTCCACACACATTAAGGTATAACTAATGGGAAAAAAAAGGTGTTATTTCAAAATAAAGGATTACATAACTCACTTTTTGGTGAAAAGTAGGCAATAGTAACTAATATGTTCTCTGTTACATAGACATATTTTAAAAAAGCTACTCTAGCACTAACTCAGGAGGGAAAAAAAAAGAAAATCTCAATTTATGATTGAATATGCTTGACTTCACAGTGCCAGAATAGACTGTGAGCTCATTAATTATTTCAGTTAAATAAGCACATCCTGACAGAAGTTTTTTGGTACTAATACCAGAGAAATAATATTCTGAGTTTACTATTATTGGCAAAAGAAAACATTAAGAGTGGGTATGATCAGGAATGATTTAAAAAAAAAAACAAAATTTTATTTTATTTATTGTTATGTGGTGCTGAGGCTTGAACCCAGTGCCTTGCACATGTTAGGCGAGTGCTCTACCGCTGAGCCCTAGCCCCAGCGCCAGCCCCAGCCCCAGCCCCTGATCAGGAATGATTTTAATGAAGATGACCAGGAAGAAATTATGGTTACTTTAAAAAAATAATTCTATTGCACATGGCAGGCTTCAAATTGGGACATTAGGCTTTTACACTAAGACAAAATGTTACCTGTAGTTTCCTACCAACAATTTTACAAGTGAAATCAGAACCTTAATAGAAGTCCAATATTTATTTTCTTCCAACTATAATCTATTGGAACAATTTAGATATAAAAAAGGAAAAAATATTTTAATATTTAGGTTAAGGAAAGTGTGACTTTGTATAAATTCAAATTGTAAAATTGAGAACACCTTTTTATATTATTTGAAATTAAATTTAGATTTAATAAAAAAGATTTAGAATATGGCATGACATTACTGTAATAATGAGAAATAGCAAACCCTGTAATAGAAATAGAAAAATTTAATAATGAGAAAAAATAAGACAAGTTTTCACCTGTGGTCTGCCTTGTATCTAGTTATTTACAACATTAAGTAATGTAGGATTTTTTTTTAAAATTATAGCAAAATCAATAAGAATTCAACCTTGTTTAGAGTATGCTATAAAACAAAGACAACACAGGCTCAGAATATGGCCCCAAAGTGAAAGATACACTCTTGTGTGCCACAGTCAACTTTCCTTTTCTTTATCCTAAATTGTGGTATCAGCAACTAATTATTTTTTCCAGTATATCAGTTTAAAAGTGAAAACCATGAAACATACTATATATACTTCTAGAAGTCAGTATTCCATTCTAAACAAATGAAATTATCTAAATTAAAACAAAATGAACTAAACCCACATAGTAAATAGTAAAAAATAATAGCCTAAGAACTATAGCATCTTCTCTTTATGAGGCACTGGGAAGAAAATATCTTTCTGTCAAAGAATATATTCTACAAATTATATATGGGTACAGAGACAGTTGTGCCCTTCAACCTGGCCTGTAAAAAATGATGGGTGCAGGCTTCTTTGACGATCATTTCCGCATATTGATGCTATTCTGTAGAACAGCTGACAGGCAGCAGCAATCTCCTAGCCCTTGCTCCCAGCTGGAACAGACAAGAACAAGGGATGTGGTAGTAATACTTGTTTGTTCACTGTTGCTGCTTCTGCTGCTTAAGCAGCAAGTTGACAAAATTGCATGCAACTAATACAGAGAGAAAAAAACTGGTTCAGGCTAAACCTACTTACCAAGTTTGCTTATAGCACTAGACAAATTGTTTTAAGAAATATATTTTTTTCCTTAAAAAGAGATAGAAAGTGAAGAAAAGACAAAATTCATGTTTCGGTTAGAAAGAGAATTTATAATATCTAAGGAAAAAAATAATAATATTCAGCTCCTTAGTTTAGATTTAACTGCTCAATTAACAAATTCTCTGAAAGAGTTTTTAGCCATTTGTCAGGGTGAATGCATAAAGAGAGTACCTTCCCTAACTATTCCCTAGGAAATAAAGTGTTCAAACTTCAATCAAGAAATGAAATTATATTTTGCTTATAAAATGCCCCTAGCTCCCTTCTAGGTACCACGTATCTAATCACCACCATATATTTGATTTTAGACTATTAGCAAAGAATAAGTTTAGCCATAAAGATTTAACAAAAATTCCCAACAATTAAAAAAAAAAATTTCCACAAGCAATTTACCTACTTTAAATGGGTAATATAGAACTAAAAACTTGGTAAGTACATAGCAGCAAATAATGAAAAACAGAAATAGAAATATTTATTCTGTTAAATTACCTTTAAATACAATATGCTACTTATAGACCTATATATAAACTTAAGTTTAAATGAGAGTCATCTTTTAGCACCGTAAGCAATTTTTAATTCAGAAAAATATAAAGTCAAAAAAATCTGGACAATTAATATTATAAAACAAACAAATCTATACAGAATTGGCTGGCAAATTTAAATAGTAAAAAAGTATGAACAGCAATGTTTTAAATTCAGATATTTTGTAAAAAACAACAGCCAACTTCAATCTTTCATTTTTATCACAATTGAAAAGTATTTTTTCTGCATGGCTCAGTAAGAAATATTGTTAATAGTAAATATAAATATTTCTGAAGATGACAGTCTAACAAGAAAACTGCATATATTTATTTAGTATGAAAAGTTGTAAATAGAAAAAACTAACAAAAACTAAAGAGTTTCTTAAAATTTATTTAAAAATGGAAATGAGTTATTTTCAGAAATCGCATCTGAAAGATACTGCAAGTTTTTCCTCCAAGTGATTCTAACCACAAAAATAAGAAAGTAAAACCAACTTTAATAATATGCTAATGTAATTTTAAAAATGCAGTTTGTAGTGATGAGAACAGAAATTCTACCTCAAAATGATATTGAATAAAAATTTAAAACCCTCACATTAATTAAATGTTTCCTTTTAAAAAATGCTGATCAGAAAATATTAATTTTGATACATTAGGTCTTATTTGAAGACAAACAATAGAAATAGGTTACGGGTGTTATTTGCAAAAACACACAAAAATACATACAAAATTGGTTCAATAAACATTTAAATAATTTTAAACTAAAAAAGGTAATTATATCTATTATTTCACAAATCCTCAGCAACATTCTAAAACTTTTATCAAAGAAAAATATCATAATTGACAAATTGCTTAAAATA